GTGGTAATACGGTGGCAACTAATTTGAAATCAAACGAAAGCATTTATATTCACATATCGAATTGAAGTACAATAATGATTGAAATTAAAAAAGAGATCTACTACATTTTGTTCTACATTGCATTATCATTTTTATGCTCGTAAGAACGTGAAAGTTATTTGTCTCCTTTTTAATATACCATTGATTCTATGTCGTTGCGCTAGTAAGTACTTCTTACTCTCAACAATTTAACGCCAAATACTTGTTTAACATTAGCCCTGTGGTAAAATTACAATTTATGTCGTTTTTAGTTTTAGGAATACTATAACTCTAGTTAATAATATCATAATATTTATCTTCACTGTGTGTAGAAAATAATGTTGATAATAAAAATGATGCCGATTAAAAAATTGCAATGCTGATGATGATTGCGTTGAATTTTTACTTTAAAAAAAAATGAGAATTTAAATTATTTTTTTTGCCTTGTTCTTTATTTGTAAAAGTTCGTTAATTCTTTTAATTCAGATTATTATAGGACTTATTTTAACTTCAGTTTTTTTAACGTACACATCAAAATTGTTTATATAAAATGTTTAATTTTTTTACTTTTCTGTACATAACTATATTGCATTGATTTGTTTTTAAACTAAATTAATATTATGTTGAGAGTTTTTCTTTCGATTTCAGTTTTCACTCATATTCCCTTAATCATACTTATTCACTACGCATCATCAACGCATCATACTTATTCAACTAATAAATGATAAAATTAGATAAAATAAATGAACCATAAAAAATAATTTTCTTATTTCACTAAATTCTCTATAACGATCATATGAATATCAAAATTTCGCGGCTATAAACGCGTGGTAAGCAGACATAATACTGACGCATTTCACTCAAAAAAACTTTCTAAGAAAAATCAATCACTTGAATAATTATACATATACATATAAAACATATTTACGAAAAATAATTATTTTGCACCTTATTTTTTGTTTTACAAGAATAAATTATAAATAAATTTATAGTCATTAGTGAAGAAAACGTATAAGAACACGATTTCACGTTACGTGTTTCTATGAATCTAAGTTTTTAAAACAATTGCAGTATTATGTGTATTTGTATACACACATATGCATATTTAAATTAGTGTAATAATGGGTATGTAAACAGCGTAAAATGTTAATGTTACCAATTAGGGTTCATGCAAATTTTCAAACAGAAGTTCTTAAAAATTACCAATTTTAAATTTTAGAATACCTTTTTTTCATATATAACACATGAAAAATTATTATAATTAAAACTATATTATTTCCATACGAGTAGCTCTTAAATCTTTCAGTTATTAACGTAAACAACCAATTTGGGTTCTCACTAGACTGAGGTTAATGTAAGTGTTAGTTAGAAAAAATATTCCGTAAAAATCTTTATGAAGAAAAAAGGTCGGAATTCATTTGATATAGTAGCTAAAATTTTAGATCTTTAATCTTGTATTTATTTTAATCATTCAAACAACACTTCCTTCCATTAATTTTTTTTTATAAATGAATTTAATAAATTTTGACGTATACTACCGCATCCACTATTAAATTGTGTACAAATATTCAAAATTCACGATGTAGATTAATTCGCTATAATTAGTTTAAAAGAAATTTTCCAAAATTTCGACAAAAATATGCCTCAAATTATGTAGTTGTTTTCAAAATATTCTTTCTCTGCCTGCATCTAAAAACTAATATCTTTATTTAACATGTTAATTAAAATTTATTTACTTAATTATTAAAACACAAATACGTACGTAGTTAAAGTTCTATTCTAAAAATAATTATTCAAATTCTATTTCGCAATGAAATTAGTTCTACACCTTAGCATTTTTTTAATTCAAAAATTTAATCACAAATTTTCGCAAATACACTTATCTAAAATTGCCAAAAAACTTCATCAATTTGTTCAAAACTAATCTTATCAAGAACACTATTGTCAAAGTCAAAATAACATATCACACCTGACACATTAACACAACAACAAAAATCAAAGCTGAGATCGAAAAGAAGAAAATAGAATTGAAAAAAAAACCAAAAAAACAATGACAAAAAAGTGAAAAAAGTCCAAAATTAAAAAGCAATAATTAGATACTAACAAAAAACCAATAAACTCAATCCAGAACAAGAAAAAAACAAATAAATTTTCTATCGTACACAACTCTAAAAACATATGTATTTGCAGTTATGTGTATGTATCCATACAAAAACTACAAAAAAAAGGTAAATATATGCATATCGGACACACAATAACGGTTCTAAAAAAGAAACTATAATATAATTTTTATTTATAGTAGAAATTCTGTAGGTATGTTCGTATACATAAAATTGTTTATCGATGCATATAATCGCGTCGTGTTATACCTACGTATGAAAATATTATTTACGTAAAATATTTATACCCTACGCTGTGACAAACATATTACACATACACACACCATTATTTGTAAAACACAAAACGGTAGCTTCTTCTATGTCATATGTTACCAACACTATCTAAAAAATCTGAATAAATATTTGTGCTAAATACGCAATATAATGAATGTAATTTAAATAAATGCATACCAGCATAATTATTATGTCGCCTGCATTAAAAAAATTATATTCTGAGCTTATATTTTAAACTAAATACTTTACGTTGAGTGTTTATGATTTGAAACTTGTATTATTTGACATTAATTTGAAAATAAAATTTTGAAAATATTTGGAAATTAGTTTTCAAGAGATCACTTAATCAATGCGTTTCTTTCTTAATACATAAGTATGCGTTACTTATGTTGTACTTATATCCCATTATGTAATATTAATAGAAAGGCTATAGTAATTAGTTTAGCCAATCGATGATATGGTGAACTCATTTGTACATTTTAATTAATTTGACATTTGTAACTATTGAATTCATTTTGTCATGTATTTCGACTTACGAAATCTCTTGTGCAAACAACTTTGAAAAAGTTGTTACATTCATTTTAATGAAACTCAATTCAAAAACTATTCAACTTATGTATCGACATGTCACATATTGTTGTTCATCTTCTGACATATTTCAAAATAACGTTGGATATTAGGAAACTAAAAAATAACACTTGTCAAACTTTCATAATTAATTTTAGTGTGTCTTTTTTTTTAAGAGAGCAATTTCGTATAATTTTTTGATTATTATCCAATCTTCTATTTTATTTTAATGAAGGAATTTTAAGAAACCTAAATGAGAAAATTTTTTTACTACGTGAGTATTAACTTTTGTTTTTTTATTTTTATTTTTGAAAACTTCGATCACACGCAAAGTTTTCATATATACAAGTACGTACACGCATATATGCGTGTACATATATAAATATACATATTTTTGTAGAAAAGCTTAAATATATTTTTTCTCATTTATTTTCTTCCTGCTTTTCTTATTTTCTATACCAAAAAAAAAAAAAAAATAAGAAAGAAAATACAACAACAAAAAAATCACTCTTAGAATTTGAAAGTAAGACACAAAATTTTTTTTTTGTAATTTCTTTTCCTCTTTGTGTTTCACTTGTTATTTATACATACACATAAAGCGTATGTAATGTATGTACATCGCATATATTAAATGATATTCTGCTTTCTTTCCACATATACGTATACAAAACATTAATCATTCCAAAATGTACATTCATACATACATACATATATACCACTCTGTTCTTTATTATTAATATATTTATAACAAGATTGGAATAATAACAGCAACAAAATATAAAAAAAAAGTTATTAACTTTTTGTCGGTCACTAAAAGTTATCGACATTTCAAAAAGTCACAAAAGAATGAATCTGAATGAAACAAAAAATATATTTTTTTTTTCGAATTTTTAATTTTATCAAGAACCTTTTTGATAAAAAAAAATTTTTCTTGATTTTATTCATAATATGTTTACCAAATTAAAAAAGAAAATAAGAAAGAACGAAGAAAATACAGGAAAATTAACTACACATACAATTTTATATAAATATGTATGTATGTATAAGATACATAACGGTTATTTTATTATTATTATAATTTTAGCATATCATATTTTTGTAGCCAAGATTAAGTGTTCAACACAAGAAAAAGCAAAAAAAAGTAAGACAAAAGAGAGAAAATTTCAAAGGAATTTCTCCTAATTTTACAAAAATCAATTCGAAAAAAAAAAAAACAATTTTTAACCTAAATTTCTTATTAGTTATTTTTTTCTTGTTTTTCTTTTGTTATGCATGCAAATTACATTGAAAATTTTTGAAATGAGTGTGAAACGTTATGCTAAATATAAGTATAAAACATTGTAGATAAATTCAACTTTAAATGAAATTCTATGAAACATCAAAATTTATTTAAATTGATTTCATCTCGGCTACAAAAAAAAAGGCACTAACTAAAATTATTTAAGAACATTGAAAAAAGCAAATTCCAAATTAAGTTTATAATTGAATATTTTAATTGAAATTAGTTACAAATTTGTGTACATAAAAACGTGTACATATATTTCTTAGCACAAATGTAGGTGCATCTACGTACACATTCATTTAAAATAATTTCTCTAGTCTTATGATTATCTGTCACGATATTTAATTATTTTTTTTATTTTGCTTTTATAATTTATTATAATTAACTTTTTTTCTTCTTTTTTAATTTATGGGAAATTCTTACTAACAAAAAAAAAATGTATAGGTACTTATAATTAATTTCATTTTCTTTCACTTTAATTTTATTAATTTTTTATTTGTAATTTTTAATTTATATAACAATAATTATTATGTTTTTCAAATAAATTCAATCGTTGGATCATACTGCTATATTTCAAAATTATAAATTCTATATTGAATTTACTTAATAACTAATTATGTGATACGAGTATTTTTTTTTTGCAAAAACAAATTAATAGTCATAATTAACATAATTTTCTAAATAAACATACTTTTTCAATACATACATATATATTAAATTATTTTTGTTGTAAAATTTACCTTAAATTTTAATTGCAAAATTATTACTCAGTTAAATATTTTAATAATAAGCTTTGAAATTATTTTTTTTTGTCAATTTTTTGAGTATTTTATTCACATTATTCACTTTTTTAATTTCATTTTATTTTCTTATGACACAAATAATATATTTGAGCACAATCAAAATTAGAAATTTCATATAGGTATGTATAGAAAACGAACACAAAAAACGAAAAATTTAATGAGTAAGTTTTTCGCTTAAATCTTCTGTAATTAAAACTGCATTATTTTTTCATTTCATAAAAGTAGATATTCCAAAAAAATTCTTTTTTTCAATAAATTACTGAAATTTTAATATTTAATAGTCTTTAATCTTTATTTAATATTAATAATAAAAAATAATAAATTAGATATTCCACAAAAATTTGCAATAAAAATGCACCGGATTTTTTTTTATTACAAAAAAAGTTGTCTGTTTTTTTTTTATTATTTTCTGTATATGTTATATACCAAGATCTTCTTGAACTTGGTAAAAGACCTTGACACTGAAGACGATCATCGCCGACTGACTTGAATATTTCTTATAATTTCATTTTATGCTAACACGTTATGTTGCTACAGTGCTACTATACCTTCTTCGCTTTTAATTCAATTTCTCATTTACTTCCTTTTATCCAATACTACATACAATCTTTTCTTATTTTTCGAGAATACCACACAACTATATATATTTCTTACAAAAGCAAAGTTACAAAGCTATAAATAATTAACAACAACAATAATTTACTATATTTCTTTCATTAAATTTATTTGAGTATAAAAATATGTGGAAAAAAAAACAAAAAAAAAATAACATTGTAATTTCTTTTTACTTTTACTAATATTGAGCAGGTTATTTTAACTTGCATAAGTATTGTATTTGAGATTTTTTGTTTTTTATTCTCTTAAATTTTATTTGAGAAAAGAAAGAAATTTTTAGTCTCTTTTGTTCAATATTTTATTCTCTTTGATTTGTTTACACCTACATTAATTTTTACGATGTAGAAAATCGCAGTAATGGTCACGTAAAATTATTTAAAATTTAAAACATTATTGCATATACTTTTAAGGTTTTTAAATTTTGATTTTTTTTAACTTTTAAAATTTTCCATACAACATTTGCTTTTTCTTTTTGTAAATATTCTTTAAAATTGTGTCAAGATATACCAACTTTAGTTTTTCAAATTACACAGCTTTTTTTATAAATGTGTTCTCCCCAGCCCACGATGAAACAAAACCACTAGCGTAGTTTTTTGACATCATCTGTTTCTGTGTGTGAACAGTCTTTGCCGTACCGTTGTTATTCAGTTGTTGAAATGTTGTTGTTCAAATGTTGTTGTTCATGACAACGAAATTTGTCCGTCGTTGCCGTTTACCGCTTTGATTATGCTTTTCCAGTTAAATTATAAGCAAAAAAACGCTTTTCTATTCATCGACTTCTTTTCTATTGAAAATTCTACTCTTTATCATTTTACTCTTTATTATTCTACTCTTCTATTTTCAGCGAATATTCAATCTCACATTTTTAAAGTCTAAACTTAAAACGTTTTTAAAATCTAGAAAAAAACGTATTTTGCTTAGCCCACAATATTAAATTCTCTTATCCAGAGTTTATTCTGGTTTTTAAACAGGAGACCGCAAATATTTTGCGTATTTCAAATAATTTTGTGCATATATGTAATTAAACTAGTGTTTCTGTGTTTTAATTAATGTGCCTATAATTGTGACTTACAATTTTTTTCGTTTCTATATTATGTCTTTAACAAAGTTAATGCAAAATAAAGGAAAATTAAGCAAAGTGTAGATCATAATAAATAAAACAAAAAAAATTATAGCTTTTACAAAGAGAAAACAGTGAGAAAATTGAAAACGAACAAAAAAATAATAACTTTTTTTTCTCTTAATGTTGTATTTTTATAATTTCTCTTAATATATATGTAGTTATAGAGCTGCCATACTGATTCAAATAAATAACATACTGCAAAATAAGGTTATAATTTTTTTTCATTAGTTATGGTTTTTAAAATATTGTGGTTTAGGTTATAATAAACAATTATTTAATTAAAATTAACAATAAAATGGGGCTATAAAAGGTAAATATTTCGTACAACTCAAATTTTTTTCATTTTAAGATGAAAGTTAACAGAAGACTGCGAAAGTTTGTTCAAGTAATATGCAGGGTGATTTTGTACGTTTTTTAACGTTTAATACCATCGTTTAGATTTGTGAGTAAGAATTGGTAAATTGTTTGTATTTAGTAACGTATCATATTTTAGTGATTGTATAAAGTACGGGAATTTCAAAAATATTCCAGAAAATTTCTGTCTGTTCTGGTTTTTTACTTAAAATTCCTGTTTTCTTCAAGATAGGAGCTTCAAGATAAGGCAAACAGTTTTTGAAAAGGTTAATAAAGACCTTTAAAATAATATTCTATTCTAGTTTGTAATTCATTTTATTTCAGAACGCGAAACATTGTAATTTTACAAGAACTAATATTATTCTAATTCTTTGTTTTTTTTTCAGTTCTCTTTATTGGAATTTATCAAAAAATTTCGAATTTCATGAGACTTTCCTTTTTGAAAAACAAGTATGATTGGTATGCATTCTCATAATTGTTTATTACTATTTTGTTCACTTCTGTTTTAATTACTTTAATGAATATATAAATAATATAAATACAAAATATATTTTTCTTATAAAAACAACTGCAACTATCATTATATACGTGTGGCAATCCTGTCTATTTGTGTTCTCTCATTTTAAACAATTTAAATAGGTGTAGTATAATATGACATCTAATTTAATTCATAAATATGACTACCAGACTGGAAAACTGAATAAAGAGAAATGTCAGCCAGGGTACCTTACCTGAATTACCTGAATAAAAGAGAATCAGAATATAAAATTTTAGTGAGTAAAAATTAAATTCAAAACAAATTTACACGTCGTAGCAATTTACTATGAGAACAAAGATTTTAATTTGATATTTATGCAGGTGAATTTCCGATTCTTAAAAACTCTGCTTTTAAACCGATGTGAAATATCTAACTGCATATTTTGTGATTGAAATTTTATTTGAACATATTTCTTTATTTATATATTCATATGCCTACATTATTTATATAATATTTTTTAGAAGATAAAACGCACGTGCCATATGGTATGAAGACATAATAATGATTGTAAACATTCAGAGATTCAGAGGTCGTTGCTCAAAGTAAAATTTGAAAAAGATAAAAAACATTTTATTCATTTATATTAATATGAGGTAATGAATACGTTATTGAAATTGTAGTTTTTAAGATGAAAATTTTAAATTTAAAAATAAATTATTTTTCAATACTATTTTATAGCCTAAAAATCTTAAATTTAATTCCTATTTTAGAATTTGAGAGTTTTTTCATTTCCTTACCTCAATAGTTGCATTAAACTAAAGGACAAATATTATTCCCGTCAATTTCATTTCTGAATGATATAGGGGGCAACAAATACATTATTATTCAAAGCGTATTGCTTCAATCCATTTTCTATTGAACAAACAATTTTAAAAAATGATTTTAAAATTCAAGACAAAGAATTAAATCCTTGCAAGAAGATCAGAATAATAATAGGTTTTTAAATGTAAGAACAAAATCTTGTTCTAACATATTTTATTGTTTTATGTTAAATTTCTAGTAATAGTAAAATAAATTTCATTTTCAGCTTAAATCTTTTAAAATTTTTAGAAATTTTTTTGAAAACTATGTTGGGTTCGTAATATTATTGGTTGTGTACAGAATATTAGAAATAATTGTTGATTTAACAGCTTTATTACTGTTATTTTTTAATGAATGAATAACAGAGTTTACACGATATACTTATAATGTACTTTGAATGTCTAAAAGAATAATTTTTTAAAGAAAAGTAGAAATAATTATACTTTAAATACAAGTTAATAAAAACAATATATTGAAAATTGGGAAGAACAATTTCTGAACAAAAAAGCTATGCTTCAATTTCAATAAAAAATAACTAATGCAAGATAACTTTCTGTTTGGTACTTGTATACATTATGTACAAGTTAAGAAGAGAGGACAAAAAAAGAATATAACTAACAAGATTATCTACATACTCAATAAATAACCACTTACTACTTAATAAATTCTTCATTTGCCATACTTACTTTAATTAAAAGTATGAGCAATTAAATTTTTGTTTAACAATTTCCTAAAGAATTTTGTAAGATTCAATTATTTGGTTTAACAATAAGATGATTGAGATTCTTCTAAAGACAAATCAGAAAGAAAGAAAATATGAGGGGCTCAGAAGCAGAGTGGCGTAAGCCACAATGTGGGTTATGCCACTTTGCTTTTGAAAAATCAGAAAATTTTTACAAAATCATAAAATTTTCACAAAAGCAAAAGTACTTTTGTGAAAAATAAATAGGAAAAAAGTTATTTCAAAATTGGAAACTAATATCACTAATTTTAGAAGATGTACATAACCGATGTACATCAAATGTTTTTATTTGTTGCTTACGCCACTCTGCTTCTTGGACCCTCATATAACCATTTAAAAGAATGTTAATTTTCAATTAATAAAATTTAATAATTTATAAACTTGAAATGAATACCGCAAATACGAGAATTAATTGATCTTCGAATACTACTGGCACTACCACAGTACTTTTATCTAAATTATGAATGAATTATGGTTGACAAAGTCAATTCATTCTTTTTCTAGATTTTGTTCTATTAATCTTATAATTCCCTTAAAATTTTTTAATACTCTTTGAAATTAATTTTCCCATACTGAATTATTAATATTGTTACAATCTAATACATTTTTTGTTAATCAACCATAACTTAATTGAAATTTTTAAAACTAGGTTAATTGGGTCACTAATAATCCGTTAAAAAAATTAGGTTTATTTTTTGCTTCTTAGCAAACAAAAATTTATAACCTGAATTAAAGAATGTTTTAAGTTACTTGGGAAGATTACAGTTAATTTATTCTTCCTAATTTATGTTTATTACCCGTACTGTAACCTGTGCTGTACTCTAAATTGTTATATTAGACAATTTTCTTTGCACATGATAGTTAATGAGTTTTTTGATTTTTTTAGCTTGGGTAAATAATTAAATTTGTTTTAAAAACTGGTTTATAATTACATTTTTCATTAAACGGAGTATTGTTCCCTTTTTTTCGCGTAACCTTTTTATCAATGTAATTAAATACTACAATAAAAAATTTATTAAAAGAAATTTTCCAGCAATAGATAAAAAAAGTACAAAAAAATTGAATATTAATAGCGTTTTGCTTTTAGAATAAAATTTAAAAACGATTTCACAATTCCTAAAGGAACTAATGTGTCATTCAAAAATGGGAAGGGTCTATTACGCGTGCAGAATTTACTACAAACGAAGTATCAATAGGCATATGTACAACTTTGGTATGAGTACGGCCATTCTTCGCTCTAATAGGCTTCTTCAATCAGGGCAGATTTTATATTTTAATGTTACCCATTAATTGTGTAACTATTAGAATAAAAATTATGTATGTATATATACACGAATTGTAAACCTAAATGTAAGTTAGGTAAGTAACTTAGGCTTAAGTTTACAATTGTGTAACCTAAAGTTGATTCATATTTGCTCAAAGATTTTTGTTGGTTTTATGAGCCTTTTATAATTTTATATGCAGATATATGTATATACACATCTAATGGGTGCATTTTTAATTTAAATGAAATAAAGAGGTAAAATGCATTTAGAAAGATAAACCATGTTACACATTTTACAAAATTGGAACCGATCCAATTGAATTTTTGTGAAAATAATTAATTACTATTTTCTACGTAAGCTTTTCGCTTTGCGGCAAAGTTTCGTGTAATATATCTAGGCCGTAAAGCAAGATATTGCATTAATTTTAAGCTAACATTTATAACTTATATAATATTTATAATGTTACATATCCTTAATTAAGTTTAATCAGGAGATTATACTAATTTTTTAAAAAAAATTATTCAATTATATAAATAATTGTGTTAAGACTTTTACGCAAACTTTTTAAAGCCCTAATACGCTTCTACTAAATTCTTTTAATCTGAACTCTCAATATTTTTAGGAGTCTTAATTTTCTTGTTAAAACTTTCTTAAACTTCTGTTAAAAACGTGTTTATATAGTTACTTAGATGTTCCGATTCATCAAAGAGGAGGTTCTCAATTTTATGTTAAATTTTATACGGAAGTTAGAAGAATGCTGAAGTTCTTAAAATAATTCACACATTCGTTCATTCACATCAAAAATTTTCAAATTTTTGTGAATTGTTAGTAAATATTTTTAACAGCTTATTAAAATTAAAATGTAAAAATTTTGTTGTGAAAAACCTTTGATATTGACAACTCTTATACCATCTACAGAAGAAAAGTCTTCTGCTTCATCTCAAAGAGAAAAATAAATCTGCTAGCCTAAACATATGCAAAAAATTCATATGAACGTTGCTAAAATTTACAATGTTTTATTGCGTTCAAGATAAATTTAAGTTTTTATTGTAGAAAATTTGTATTTGTATTGAACTTGTGTAAACGAACACAGTAAATGCAATACATAGTATCAAACACTAATCTTGGAGTTCGAAATATGAGTACATGTACGCAATTCATAAGTTTTTTGAAAAAAAATTTAAATTTGAACAACAGTTGAAATTGAAAACTTGTTATTTTTGTTTTTAAATTGCTGTTATTCTTTGAAAATTCTGGTTTATTTAGTGTCCGTCCTTCTTTGTTTGTTCTTTAGTGTTCATTGTAAATGAGGTCTTGCACTTCTAAAATTGAAAACACTTTTGAATTGTAAAAAACTTTTTTTTAAACCATTAATAATTATTTTAGTGAAAAATCTGACCTAACATATAATTATTTCGTTATAAATTCTATATCCATTGCTCCAAAATGTATGCAAATTTTCTCACCGAAACTTTTCTTTGGAATTCAGTATCTATATAATTACATGAACTTCTTCTCAGTAAGGTTTTCTCGCATTAAATATTTCGATATTAATTAACTATTTCCTAAAATTAATGCTGTTCTCGTTGTGCTATAAAATATGAGAAATATTATGTGGTTCCAGTATAAGTATATCGATTTCCCTTCGTCAACTTTTGAGTTCTTTTGGAGGCAAGTATATTAAAAACACTACTGAAATTATTTACAAAAAAATTTTATTGTTATTAACTAAGTTTTATAATACATTTTTAAATACAAAAACAAAGCAAATTTTGTTCCAAAAATTTTAACAAAAATTTTTTAACAAACATAAAAACTCGCAATAATATGCGTCTACTAAAGAATACCATTCAGAAAAAATGATATGAGATTCAAATAAAAAACCACAAATTTCTTATTACATTTACATTGATTAATTATTAAATTTTGATTTATAAATTCTTTCTGGGTATTCTAATTATAATTCATAAATAAAATAAATAAATTAAAAAAATAATTTTCCTTCTACAATATTTTAATTAAAATTATTTTTAAGGTAATTTTTCTATTTTGTCTTAAAAATTTATTCAAATTTGTTGGTTATGTTTTGCGTATTATACCAAAAATAAGAAACATACTAAATTTTATGTAAAATTAAAATTAACAAAAAATGCTAAGTAGAAATCACGCTAAATATTCCTTTCCCATAACTGTTTGAATCCAGGGCACAAATCTTTGTATATTGGTATAGACTCCAGGTAAATGTTCCCTACCACAGCCTATTCCCCATGATACAAGGCCTATTAAAGTCTTTCTTCCGTCTAATGATAAAGTTAGTGGACCCCCAGAATCTCCTTGACATGAATCTCTACCACCTTCTTTGTATCCAGCACACAAAAACACTTCATGAATTGTTTCTCTACGGCCAGCTGCTCTAAACCATTTTTGGCATCTATCGTTTGACAGAACTTCAACATCAACTTCCTAAAATAGATTTGAAAAAATCAAATATTAAATATTAGACTTTAAGTTTTGGGTTAAATTTAAAATTAAATATTGAATATGTTTACGGCGCTATATTCTTTAAAACCATACAATACAACTTTGTGAAAATAATATACTAAATTTAAAGCATCCTTTGTTTTTATCAATAATTTGTAGAAATGAAAACAACAAAGATTAAACAAAGAATTGCCACGTAAACTTTTAAATAATTTCACTTACAAACCCTTTACAGACCTTTAAATATGGCATACTTTAGGACAAAAATAATGCTGAGATATGTTAAAATTTTGTTAATGAATCAAAACTAATTTGATCTTACCTGCAATACAGATGGTACCGTGCTTTGACCGTGTCTTGTTCTTCCCCAGCCTGCTACAGTTGCCATTTTTCCAACTAATTTTGTTGTCGGAGGTGGTAAACAAACCGGTAGTATATGCTGCTTGAATTTCACGGATCTATCTAGTTTCACCAGTGCAACGTCATTTTGAAAATCTGAAGGAGAATAATTTGGATGAACCTCTTTTCTTTCGATTCCAAATTCTTCATGTGCCAATTTTTCTTCTTGATCTCTTACATCCCACTCACCAAGTCGAATTTTCATATTTGAATTGGGAGTGCTAAAAAAAACAATTTAGATTTTTTGTCATACTGCATAACAAATTTTCTAGATAAGATAATCAATTTTTAATTCAAATAGTTTTTTATGTAGAAAAGACCGACAAAAATATTCCCTTGTCTTGTCAAAATAATTCTTGTCAAATAAGAATTTATTTTACAATTAGACAAAAAAGTTGAACCAAGATTACTAACATAACTGACTTAAACAAAATAAAATAATATTTTTTAATAATTACGTTGCAACACAATGCGCTGCTGTTACGACCCATCTATTTGACACTAAAGCTCCGCCACAACTTAGTTTCCTTGATAAAAATCCTGATTTTATGAGAGCAACTTGCCATGGGTGTGAGCCAAAACCTGTTGAATGACCACCAACAATCCGATTTGTTCTTGAGTATATCTCTCCACAACCTGAAATGCAACAAGAAAATTTCAATAAATAAGAGCTATTTCATAAAAGTTTAAGAAAAGACTATGAATAAATAAAAAATAAAAATATAGTAACGAAAGAATTGAAAAAGTGCTACGTGGCATTGGAAATCAAGAAAAAAACTTAAAACCAAAAAAATTTGAGCAGTGTGAAATTGGAAAATAAAGTAACTGATTTTTGTTAAAATTTTTATTTGTACCAGGATATAATCGAAAGAAACCATCATAACTATATTCATCATCAGCTACGGGTCCCATATTTCCATTGCCAGTTGTATATGATGCAAAGCTACCTCCATTTGGATTATTTATTTGAACACCGGGATTACCAAATTGATGATGATTTTCTAAATTAAAACCATTGTTTCCGGTATTACCGTCATTGAATCCAAAATTAGGATCAATATGATTTGTGATTCCGGTGATATGATTTGATTCGACTTCCCACTGATTTGGTTTATATGGATAGGTGTTTGGTTTCAGGGATGGTTTTAAAGGAACTGATGATGTAGGCAAGTTATATAATTGATTATATGGATGTTTATTGTTGTGATGATTGACATGGTGATGGTTATTATGCTGATCTAAAGGTGAACCTGGGTATATGTCATGTAAATGTATTATGTCACCTGGAAAAGAGTTGTTGATATTTTTGCTTTTTTGCTGTTTAAAAAAAATTGTTTTAAAGTAATAAATATATGAAGAATAACTTTAAAATTGGTGTATGCTTCAAAATGTGAATTGGAATTGTGCTATCATGAAGGAAAAATGTATATAATAGGGCATGCAAACTTTAAATAAGAGAAATTTTATCAACTCAGTGCTGTTTAAAATTTGAATGGTAAATACTTTCAATTGAACAAATAAATTTAAAACTCGGCTTTTTTATAAAATTCTTACAATATAGGTACATGCATTAATTATAGCAATATCTCAAAAACTCTACAAAAGCTGTTAAGCTTAATTAGTTTACATTATTAGATTTTTAGATTTTTAGCTCATAGTAGAAGCACCTTGTTCTTTTAAGATGTATAAATTTCTATTTGTGTACATATTGCATGTATTCGATACAACTTTCGACCAAAATACTCGTAATTATTAAAAAAAATCCGAAGTGGTCAGCACATATCCGACCGCAATGTCTTGACCGACCTGAAAATGTCTTTTAAACAATTCCTTTCAATTTTAAGCAAATAAGCTTTTAGTTAACATACCTATAAAAGCATAAATTTAGCTCGTAGTAGGATTTCGCTTTGGGCAACCCGAAATCCCTGAAAAGTTCACCAGTTAATTTTGGTAACAACCAGAACTCAAATATCAAATTTCAAGTAATTCTATCGACTTGTTCCGTAGATATATTAAAAAATGTAAAGACGGATTCCAGTTCGCTTTTCGAGCGCTGATCTTTCCAAAGTGTTTATTAATTCATTGTCTAAATACCCCGAATTTAAATATTAAATTTCAAGGAAATTGGATGATTACTTCGGTCTATATGCGCAAAAATTTAAATCGGGCTTGCGAAAAGGTCTAGTTCGCGGAGTCTGATATATCCCAAAAATTAGTCAGTGCCAAAGCCAAAATAAACCCAAAGATAATATTTCATCAAAATAGGTTCATGAGATAATCGCGTACACCCACAGGCCGACAAACAGGCAGACAGACCGACTTCTCCCTAAAAGTAGTTTATTTACCGAAAACACGACATCCAAAATTTCAAATAACCTTCCTTCTTATATGCAAGGAAGGTTGTGTGTTATATTTAAAAAAAGAGAAATAATTAACCAATTTTCCAGAAATATAATACTTAAACTCTGGTTTCTAAAGAACTGAATAAATTTTTTCGAGAATTTCACTGCTAAGAAATTGAACTTTCGATTTTTTTTATCAATTTTATTTTTTGTACTATATTTAAGGAATTATACTTGACAGAAGATGAGCAAGAACCAAAATTTACATTTTTCTACATTGAATAACTAATAGATCATTTGAAATTCTTCATAGAATTTGAAATAAGTGTTTTAAGGACATTTTCATGATTTTATACGATACTTTGACAATGCGCTCGGTTATGTGTCGTTCACATCAGATCTTTTTAAGTTCGTAATTCTATCATTTTCATTATTCAATCTACAAAGAAATTTCACAAATATTGTAGTATAAATAAAAGACATGTTTTATTATATTTAGTAACTCTACCAAAAAATTATAGTAATTCGTTGTTCAAAAAGCTATCCAAAAATCTTATATAATATAATTTTTAAAATTACTAACATTGCGTTCATCTATACAATTTTTTTCGAAATTTGTTAATATTTTGACAACTTGCTTAAAATAAAAAGGTGAGAAAAAATAAAAACACATTGTGAAAAGTGCCATCCTATATAATTTTAAATTGATGGCTGGTTGGGTTTACCATATTTTTTCTAAACTTTTAATATCTGTGTACAATTTATGTGCACAAATATTTCTATATAAGTTTGGGAGTATGTTTTAATGGAACATTTGGTTTTCCCATTCATTATCCAAAGAAACTTATTGTTTTTTTCACTGAAGGGCCTTGAAAACATTAAGATTTTTAACTTCTTTTAACATAATAAAATGTCTAATAGACAATAATATGATTTTTATGAATTCAGGAAATACAAAATTTCACTTTTAAATTGTCTACATTTGATTTGATTTCTTTCTCTTTTGTTTTTCCTCACATTTGTTTTCTTTCTTGTGTTTCTTCTTGTTTGTGATATAATCAAAAAAAAAAAAAAAAAGATTGGTGACTAAGAAAGAAGTGATGCGGATGAGGGAAAAAACTTGGTTTGTGAAAATTTTATATTATTTGAGTACATTTTTATTAATTTAAGTTGTATGGTTCAATTAAATAGAAAAATGCTATTACCAAAATGATTTCGCTTTCATTTCAAATCAAACAAAAATACTGAAAACGAAAGAAATTTTAACTGAATTAAAATTCGCAATGTAAATTGAAATAAAAAATTACACAGGTGATCATTTTCTTCTTATTATAATAGAATGCAATGCAATTTTAGAGGAACTATAAATCAAAGGAACGTAAGACAAAAAGCATTCTAAAGAGATTATTTTGTAAAATGTAAAGGGTAACTTAAGAATTTCAAGTTTAGGAATAAATTATTTTTATTCTAATATTTTCCGAAATCCCAGATTTTTAAGTATTTAAATTTCACTTTTGCATTAAAAATTAAGGGCTAAATAATTTTTTTTTTAATTTGAAGAATGTAGCAAAGATATTATTTCCAAAAATTTTTAAACATTCTTTCCATTTTGCTAATAACTAATTAGAATTAATCTTCAAATTCTTCGAACCAAAGTTTAGAAAACCATTTTAAGCACATTTTCAAGATATTTGGAATTTTAACTTTTAAAATCTTGAAATTCTATTTGATCAAAATTTAATACAAGTGTCTTACATTCAATTACATTCAATTATAATATTGTTATGCCATTATGCCGTTTTATGTTGCACGAAATAAACTGATTTCTTTTCGCTTTTTGGAATTCATCACTAAAGGTCATCAAAAAAATAGATTTTGAGAGAATTTTCAGAGGCTACATTAATTTTAAAGGATTGGGTATAGTCTTCTTGTATAAAAATAGATTTCTGATAAAATCGAGACTTTCCATCTTTAATGCTTTGGTGATTTGTAAATAGACATGCTAACGGAAAAATAGAAAGTCAGCATGAAACTAATAAGTAAATTTGTGTCAATTTTTGTTGTAAATATTTTTAACAAAGTGAATCTTTTTTTATAGAAAAATTTATTAAAATTTATTACCTAACCGACAATTTAATTGAAACAACTTCCAGAAATATTTAATATATGAAATATGTAGAAACGACTTTATGTATAAGCACATTTATATTACAATACAGGCGACATTGCTGAGAGTTTTAAAGTTCTAAATCTTTTTTATAATTATTTTTCTAAAAGTTTTTAATTTCTTCAGGTTACGGCTTATGTATAAGTATCAATATTCTTATTCAAAATAACAAGCCATTTGCAGCTGTAAGCTGCCCCTACAAAGCTACAGTTTGAAAACCGTTTCCTAATTGATCAGGTTTATAATTTTTTGTGCCAATCGAACACCTACCCTACAATTTTCGAACAACTGAAAATATATTTAGCAAATTTTACTAGGATTTTTTTTTTAACTTTTTGGAAAAGTATCTACCAAGCCCTAAAAAACTCGAAACAATTTATAGATTTATACCAAAACCAAGCATACATATATGTGTATGTATTATAAGCACTTTATAAATTTGAAATCATTAAGGTTGATGAGTTGCTCATAATAAGTATTTTACTAGTTTTAACGTTTTTTGATGCAAGTTAACTTATATTGTTTGTTTTTAAATGTTTTAAAGTAAATACTTTCTTCAATCCGAAAAAAAAATTTATTTGTGCAAACATACCTTAAGCGTGCTCATCGAGAACTTCTCCTAATTGCAATATCAAAATAAAATTAAATTTAGTTCTCAATTTTAAATGGACTTTCTAAATTTTGACATTAATTGACCTCATGTATAATAATTATTTTGCTTTAAAAATATTACGTTGTTTCATGTGAATTTTATGATTTTAAATTAAGAAAGAGCAAGCAGTGACATATGATGTGGCAATACAACTTTTGACAATAATTGTAAGGAAAACTGTTGTTTTAAAAGCAACTTAAAAATGACAAAAGTTGATCATGTATTTTGCAACAAAATAATGGTGACAATTTCTTTTCATTTAGTTACTTAAAAAATACTCGCTTTTCGTGTAATTATTCTAGTTTAATTTTGTTTCTCTTCCTTCTTTTTTTTAAAGAGAGTAAGTAATTAATTTTTTCTTCTTTTTTTCGTAACTTTTCATTTTAACGCTAGTAACATTTCGAACAATAAAAAGTAGGAAATGAGTAAATGAACGTCACAAAATTAGTTAAGTAGCACATTATTTTAATGGTATTACAAAATTAAAACAAAAGCAATTGTTTCAAATTTAGAATTATTTTTTAGTTTTAAAATAAAGTAAGCACAAATTACATTATTTTCATTCAATGCACATTATTATGTATAGCGATGCATGATTGCAATGACAATTTTAAAATTGATGAAGCTTTCAAATTTGAAATAATTTTTATACTTATATCAGAATAATTTTACATGATAACTTTGTAAGGTAGATATATAAAAGTTTTATGATTGTGAAATTTCAACCGTATCATGTTATGATAGTTGCGCGATATCACACAAATGTTGTGTTATAAGTACATTGTAGTTCGTTTTACATTAAAACAATGGTATTGTTATATTAAATTAAGTAACTTACTTGCATTCTGTACTAATCCAACCTGAGGTTCAGGTTCAATCGATGATTTATCTTTGTCAACACAACATGACCATATCATTCCGCCGGAACATAAATCCATTGGTTTGCCACCACCAAGAACACAAGATATCGATAGACCACATTCGAATTTGTGTCCTTTAAAGCGGCATGATTGTGGTATCACTGCAATTATAATTGAAATTTATTTAATTTTATTTCTATCTACTTACGATTTATTTGTTTAGTTTCGGAAATAACTGAGTATTTAAATGCAGATGGGAACAAAACAACTTATCCCCTTTTGAACAAAATTTAAAACAAAATGAGTCCTGTGTGGGTTATATGCCCGACTGTAAAATTATGTGTTGATTTAACGGTCTTCTAATGGATTTTAAGTCAATTGCTTTTACCAATACCAATATTCCTAATTAATACTCCTAGGGCGTTGAACCTATAACCGAAAATTTTTGCTTGAAATTCATTACGGAATAAATTTCCCTGTTAAAAATTTTTAATCAGTGTTTCGTTGAAATAGTTTTAAAATAAGTTTAAAAAGGAATATCTGGACGATATCGTAAATTCAGCTCAATTTTTTAGTATCAAACCTAAATATTAATAGAAATCTATTTTTTTATATAGACTATGCAAACTCATTCTAAAACTCTAAAATATTTATTTTAGAACTTTTTTAAAAATCTTGTCCAATTCCCGAAGAAAGATCTGGGAATGCAACTATGCAGTATGTTACTAAATGTTTACAATAAAAAATTTACAACTCTTTGTCAGTTAAATGTTGGTCAATTTGTGCTGTGTAACAAGAAAACTGCATAATTTATTTTTATTATGTATAAATAATATGAGGAAGGTAAAAAGAATAGATAGGGTAGATAGCTTTGTTTGCAGAAGATAGTTTAATTTGTACTCTAGGTAGCTCAGTGGAAGAATGTGAATCAAAAATTAATGAGGAATGGCTTATACAATTCTAATGTTCAAATTAAAATCGATAATGTAACAATTGACATTGTTATTGAAATAAAGTATTTAGGTATAGTTATAGAATTTTAAGTAGCACTTGGATTACATATGTATGTGAACAAGCAATGACAATTTAGGATTTTCAAAAATAAAAAAAATTTGTCAATATGGATTGCAACATAGCTATTTAATATTATGATAAGACAACACTTTGAGATGATGATCAGACCAAAGATAACAAAGTAGAGGTATGAGAATTATTCTTAAATTCAATAGACATGCCTCTAAGTCTTTTATACTAAGAACTTTGAAGTGGATGAGTGTATCTCAAAAAATTAAAATAAATGTGTTATTAATTGTGTTTAAAATAAAAAGTAAAGTGGTGCCACAATATTTCATAAATAGGTTGACACATACGAGTACATGTTCAAAATAGCCCTATTTATTTTATAAAAAACATTTATGGTTTTAGATTAAATTTATTTAAAAAAGAAAAAGCAAACTAACAATAACTTCCCTAAGTGATAAGGAAGGCAAATAAACAATTTTTGGAAGTCCGGCGGTACAACTTGTATTAGCAACCAATCATACAGAAAAGATCAACTGGTTTCCTTTGAATTTCAATGTTTTTTTGTAGAACAAATTCGAAGTCAATGTTGGTCAGAAAACAAGGAAGTTTTTCAAGAAAATGGCATATGATGTAATGGTAAAATAGCAAATTTTGAAATTATGTTTTTTTGTAGTAAGTTACAGTCAAGTACAGTATGTACTATAAATACGTCTTTGTTAAAACTAAGTTTTGCGGAGGGGTGCAAAGTACATATGGAGCATCTTTGAACTAATAATTTATTGCAAATTATTGTGAAGGGTTTGCAATAAATTACTATACCATATTAGTATCATATTAATTGCCGGCGAGTTATTTTGACAACATTACACTTTTCGAAATCTGTTTTTCGCAAGACAATGTTTAACAAATTTTGCTTCAAAAAATTTAGTTTGCTGCAATTCCTTATAGCTTTCCACTAACATTCAAACTTTTATTCTTCGATCGTACACCTTAACTAGCAATTTAAATTACAAATTATAAAAGAGCATTTTACGAAACATTTTATAAAACACAAATTGTTTTTATATTTTTCACAAAAAACTTTTCTGATGAATATACAATTCGTACAAGTGTCTAATTATTATTATGCAACATGTGAATTGCTGGAAAGGTAATCAGCGATAATGAATTTAATTACCATAACGTTTTCTTAAAACTGACACACCGAAAAAAAATTTGTGATTGTGTAAGTTAATGCGAATTTTTTTTTTGCTTTTCTATTTTTCGGTTCAAACTTAAATAAGCGAGAGCATTGGACATCTTTCATGGTTGTTGTTCTTTTTAATTTAATTTAATTGTGAGCTGTAACTAAATGTATGTTGTCCTTTATATTTCTCAAGAATTATAAATGTTCCTAACGTTTTGTTGTATTTTTTTCTAGATCAACTCTTGGATCGAAATGAAACGTGTTAAACAATAACAATATTTCTGCATGAAAAAACTGCTGTAGCAAATTCGTACAACAGTGTTAAAGTATCGAACATCTGAACATGGACACAGAAATCTTGCATTTAAGTGAAAATTTTATAAAATACCTTTCAACTGAATGCCTTAAAAAATAAATAAAACACTGCCTAAGTTGAAATTATCAAAATTTTAGAAATTGCGAGTTATATCATACTGAATGCGATTTAATGGTATAATGTTTTACTCAGAACTATTAAATTGATTTACAATTCTAAACAGAAGAAGCTTCGCACAAATTAAGAAGCTTTCAAAGAAATCTACTTTATTAAAATATGCTTTTCAAAAACAATATTGTTATAAATTAAAAGAGAAAATTTCAAAATGTCAAACAATAATTTTGTGTAAACATTTGTGCCTAAGTCAAAGTAAATATACTCATCCTTGGCTTGCACTATCTGCAGAAATTAGTTTCGGTCTGCGAATAGAATTTCAGTCTTAACAATAATTTAGGGCAAATTAAATAATCCATAAATAATTTTAATTATATAATTTTAAGCAGCCCATACAAGAAAAACGACTAACATAAAAGAAGTTCGTAAAGAGACACTCGGCGAAAAATTTTGTCAATCTAACATTTTATGTTATCTTTATCAAAATATATTTATTATAACGAAAATAAATTCTAAACACTGGTGGGAGGAAAGAAATTGAAACCAATTAATTTTTCAACAATATTTTCAGTTCATAGTCATTAGCATTGCTCTTATTATTGCATATCAATGTCATCACTTGCATCTTTATCATACTTCTTCCTAATAAATCCATAACAGTATTTGCTGAGCCATATGGTGAAAAGCCCTGTCGCCTTGATAACGCATCTAATAATAAAAGATCGTGTTCTTGTTGTTGATTTGGTGGATATCCATTTGTTATTTGATTAAAATGTGAAAATATACAAAATATTATGAAAACTATTTTAAAAACACTATTAAATAAACGAAACCGTATCATTTCACATTAATATAATTAAATTTACCGCTAACTTTCAAAGTTCAAGAATAGCAGTATAAATTTGAATAAATTAAAATTGATTTATTAACTTTAAGATTAAAACATAAACAAAAACGAGAATTTCAGTCAAATAAAAGAGAATTTGTTCTCGACGGATAAAATTTAATGTGCGTATTTTAAATTTTGGTGTCTTATTCAATTCGTTTCAACTAAAATTGTAAAATTAAAGAGTTAGAGCAAAGTGTAAACGACGGAAAAATGTGAAAGTTTTCACTTTTGTTGCATGTTGTTGTCCTTTTTGATTACTTTTCTCTTTCTACCTGCTACTACAAAAATATTTATATTGTATTTTTTCTCTTTTCTTTTTTGATAAATTTATTTTTAATTTTAATTTATCTTTATTTTTAATAATCACTTTTCTCGTATTTTTTTCCAATTTTTACAATTATAATTTTTTTAAATTTGGAATTTCTTCTTTAACTTATTTATAAATTGCACAGTTATACATTACAAATGCGAATTTCTTTAGTTTTCCAAAAATATATATATATTATTAAATTATGCATATTTTTCCGTGCACCGCGGTTAACGTTTTTATTAACAACAATATTAAATGAGATCCGAAATGAACTGAAGAAAGCTTACTAAAGAACTGAACTTCAACTTGATGATTTTCAAAAATGGATTTTATTTTCTTGCTTTTTCTTCATTTTTATTATGCTTATTTTTATTTTTAACTTTTCTTTTTTCATTTTAAATAATTATTTTATTTTCACCGCATGTGAATTTTCGTTGTCTTAAAGCGTGCAATTTGCTTGTGCTCCTCTTTGAGTTTTCTTTGTTTTCTTCTTCCATCATTTTGCCATCAGTTTTCGTTTTCTTTAATTTTGTAATTGCGGTTTGAAGCAAATAAGAGTATGAAAAATGATTAATTTAAATTTGCATGTATTATGTTTAACTTTGTATGAACATTTTTTTATAAGTATGTATTTGTAATATTACATAGCAAGCATGTAAGACAAATTTAATAGCAATGAAAGAAATTTGGTTGATTCTACTTATTCTAAGATAGCGCCAAGGTGATCCTATTGTTTGCAGAAACCTTTTTGGATATGATACACAAATTAGTTGCTAGTAGTCTTTTTTCAGCTTCACTTCCATAACTTTGTTTAACGACGCGCTTAATGTATAATGTACTTAATACCATTAATTTAGTTTAAAAAATTAAGAAGTAAATATCGAAGTATAAATGGTCTTATTACAGAAGAGCTATTTAACTTATGTAGCTACAATTGTCGACTAAACAAATAGTGAAGCTTAAAATTTGAACAAAATAAATATGCACTAAATGTGCCATTGTGGAATAAGGAACTTGTATGTTAGAGAGATAAAAAATTCAATCACAACGTATCTCTTTAGTGCGAACTATGAGAACAAACTATGAGTATTAAACAAAAAAGCTAAAACTTCTGTCTCAACAAGAGTTATAACATGTCAGCTGAAAAAAAGGTTTCGGATGGATCCTGTTAGAAATTTGGATGGATGTTATATTTATCAAATCGGTATACATTCAGAATACGCTAATACTTTCAAGTTTACATGTTAGCATTACTAACAAAATGGCAAATATTTAATACCCTTCAACATTTCCTAAAAACAAAAGTAAATAAAGTGTCAAGTT